CCCCCCTCTGAGTCCATGCTCGCAGAGTCTGTGCTCCTCCTACAGGTCTGCTCCACCCACAAGTCTTGTTTGAAGTCTGCTGTAAGTGTCAGTCTTTAAATACAGGATCTCCCCCAAACATCAAGCTCAGGGCACAGCGCTCCACCTGAGTCACTGAGGCCACGATCCCACTCTGCTAACCTTGAACAGCGCTTCCAGACGCGCTGCTAATTTCCGCCTGCATATCCACCTGTGCACACTCCAACAGACCTCTGCCACAACATCCAACCCCAACTCAGACAGAAACCCAATCTGCCTTCCATCCATCTTCTGACAGTTTGTCCATCTCTGACAATATTCCAGTCTCTGACACAACCCTCTTCCACCAACCTCCACCAAAGTTATGACCTTCCGCCGCAGTCCTGTACCCTGTACTCGGACACTGCTCGTACCTTCACTCCAAAATCCTGTCAGGGTTCCGACCTCAGACTCTGACTCCACCTCAGTTGCATTGGTGACCTCATTCTGCATAAACCCCATTGCCAATATTTCTCAGACTTTCAACCCTGCCTCTGCAACCTCTGTAAGCTCCACAACCTCTGAGCTCCACAACCTCTGAGCTCCACAACCTCTGAGCTCCACAGACCATACTTGGCACTTTCACCACTTGTAATGTATCTTTCACACTTTCCCCTCATCCCTATTTGGACTACTGCTTCCTTTCACTTTTTAGCCAGTTAGTCATCAACCCCACTTCACCTCATCCTCCTGCCCCTCTGGGCTTCGCTATCAGGACACGGCAAGGAGGGGCAGCGTGCCTGGACCTTTCCCCAGAACGGAGGCCAGAGATAGAGGATGGGCAGAGGGACCATGGCCTCAGCGACTTGGAGGGGAGCACTGTGCCTATGTTCGATAATGCTTAGTGTCTGGTCCTTAATTTCAGAACAAGGGGGGCACGAACTCTGGGGGGATAGTCATTATTGTTGATTTTGCACTGAGGTGCCATCAACTACAGTACATGACTTATATACATAATACAAGACAAATTGGGACAAAGGGAAAACCCAAGAGGGACTTACCCACTTGCTGGGTCGGCAAGCTCATGAGAGAGTTGCCTTATTGAGCATTGTGGAGTGGGTAGGTGAAGGGTGGAATTAGTGACAGCTATTGGAAAGTGGGAAAACCTTTGCAGGGTTGGCAGAGGTCCTAGGAGGTCCATAGTAATATTGGGTAGGTAGAAATATTATTAAACATCTAAGATGAGGATAAGAGGTACTGGAGAAGGTACTGGAGAAGGTACTGGAGATTGGAGGTGGAGGTGGACCAGAGGTATACTGGAGGGTATGGCAGAGGTGAGGGAGAGGACAAACTGGAGGTGAACTGGAATGGTGGTGGAGTCAGAGGTTAGGTGGAGTTGGTATGGATATGACATTCACCCTCCCTATCTCCTTTTGGATGTACCACAGAGTCTAACCCATGACCTTCAGTACCACTCTGCTTCCATCATCCCTTTGTCTCCATTTGGACACCTTTGTTCCACTTTGGACCCCCTTTGATTTCCTTGTGCTTTCATTTCTCCACTATATACAGGTGCTTGTACATACTCATTTTGGACCCTCAGTCTAAAATCGACCAGAAATACCCCTAGAGACTTCCTGCTCACTGCTTCTGAAATTAAGGACCAAATGGACAAACAGCAATGGCACAGCGCTCCCCTTGAGTCGCTGAGGCCAAGGTCCCTCCTTGCTAAGCCTCTGGTTCCACTCCGGAATTGTCTGCTCTTGCCCAGTTCTAACAGCAATGGTGTTTACATGAAATGAGGTCACCAATGCAATGGACTTAAGCCAAGGTGGAGTCAAAGTCTGAGGTCAGGAGCATGATGGAATCTTGGAGTGGAGGTATGAGCGGTGTCCAAGTATGGGGTACAGGACAGTGGTGGAAGGTTGTAACTTGGTGGAGGTTGGCAGCAGAGAGTCAGAAGGAGAGGAGGGTGGTGTTCGGTCCAAAGGTGGAGATCAGAGCAGACAGAGGTGGTGAAGAGGAGGGCTGGAAGTTGAGTCAGGATCAGGTATGTACGGATATGACAGAAGGCAGACTTGCAGGGCAGGCAACTAAATGGCCCAGTGGAGGTAGGAGTACACTTGTGGATGTTGGAGCTGTCTGGAGGTCTTCAGGGTTCCATACTTAGGGAGGTGTAAGTAATATATGGTGGTGATGGGGGCCTCAGAGGAGAAGATGGGATTTGGGGGTTCCGAGGTTGGTATGAGCAAAGCAGAGGTAGTCAAGGATGCCCAGAGGTGATGGAAGGTGGTGGTGGTGGTGGATGGATATGACAGTCTATTCCACTAGGGTGGTTTCCACATTGAGCTCCTAAGTATCTTGTGGTTTGGCCATCTTGGAGGATTGTTATGTCATGGTGGAAGGGAGTAGGTGAGTTGGGGTTGAGTACCTTTGTGTTGTACAGGTTTTGTCAGTATTCTGGGGATCTGACTGGGATGATCACTGATTTTTCTTTGTTGAAGCAGGCACCTGAGGGGGTGCACCATGTGTTAAGGATGTTGTACCTGGGCAAGAAGGCTGCCCAGGTGAGAGAGTAGGGACCTGGGGGAAGTGTCTGAGTTGGGGAGAAAGGAGGGAAACGATAGATGGTGGTGACAGTGCTGATACTGTGGGTGCTAGACAATCAATCAATAAAATCTCACTAAATCAGTACTCACTCCTGGTCCTTCTTGGACAGTCATCAGGGTGCTTCTTTAACATATGGAGGGATCACTCAACACCACATTCTTTGTAGCACAGAAGAGGGGTCCAACAACTGTAAGTACAGTGTAAACTGGGTGTATATATAGAAAAAAGATAAAAAATGAGAGAAATAGGCAATAGATGGTGGAAATGGGAACAGGAAGAATGTTAGCATCTCAGCTAAAGAACAATAAGGCAAAAGGGTGGACCACAAGGTGACAATGAAATTCATAAATGAACCCAGAATTCAATATCAACCATCAATCTCGCTTCTCCACTGCATATCCATCATCCTAACTCTTGTCCAGTCATTCCATCCTCTTCTCCTGATCCTTCGCTGTCCATCACGCTCAGAATCATGTGAATTGGTAGAGATTTGGGGAAGGTATGGGGAAAATGGTAGATAACCGTGGATTTTGGGGAAGTGGCAATATGAGTCTTGAGAAAAAAAATTGAAAAAAATGGTAAAATGTGTGGCATAGGTGTTGTGTCAGAGCTTGAGGGTGCTCATTGGAGCCTCGAAAATGTGGTTCTGGCCTTGTTTGTATAGTACTTGCTGTGGGGGTTTTTGGGGTTCTAGATCATATGGGTTGAATTTCATGGTTAGGTTCCCTAGGATTTTCTCTGCAGAGTTATAGCAGGTGTTGGGGTTTTTGCAGCTCTTGGATCTGTAGGTTGTGCAGGGCCGGCATGGGCAGCTTTTGGATTTCAGGTGGTGAGTCGCTTTTTCCGCGATGCTGGCTTGTATGACTAGGTCTCCGGTTTTTTTTCTCAGGCATTTCGCCTGCAAGCTTCCATCTTGGTGTGCACCATTGGTTTTTTTACTTAGGTGGTGCCACGCAGGTAAGTTCATTTTTATTTCATTGGGGAGGTATGGCACATCTAATTTCAGGTTGTATTTCGATCCAGTGTTTAGTATTCAACTCAGTTCTTGGGGTAGGGTCCTGCTGGTGTATCTCGATTTCTGGAACAGCCGTTGCGTGTAGATATTCGTTATTTTTTTCCAGTTGATTTCTTAGCGGTTTTTTGGTTTCTTTGGTAGTGAGTGGGCGGGGGTAGTTCGGGGGTGTCTATGCCGCCGGAAGGTGTGTCTGGGCCTCATCCCTCTCAGTGGAAGTTTGAGAGCCTACATAGTAGGCCCCGCCCTGGTGCGGCGAGTGGGGCAGGGTTCCTGGTCCTGCCAGGTAGCTGGTCGTGCCCCCGAGATTGCCCTTCTTCCTGGGTCTGCGGCTTACTTGGCATGTACTTGTTTACTTTTTTTACATGCCCTCGGGCTATATCTCGACTTTGGCCCTTCCTTGGATCGGAGGAAGCGCTGATTTTCGGCCCTTTCCTGAGGGTTCTCGGAGCTTGCCGGGGTCCTAGCGCAAGGTAACCCAGATTGCCAACCCTGCCATGAAGGATGACAGCGCATTGCAAGGCATGCCCCAAGAGTTTGGAGCTTTTGTCGATCTGGTTCGTGATACCCTCAAGGAGTTTCGACCTTCCGGTGGTCCAGGGTCGACCTTTCAGCTCCTTGCGCAATACCTCCAAGGGTTCGATGCCTGGAGGAAGGCCACCAAGTCAGACATTCACCTGTGCGCATCCGCCTCACACCCTACGTTCAAATCGAGAGTAGCCAAGGATATCTTCCCCCTTATTACATCCTCTGCTCTCTTCGTTCGCGCCCATTGGGCGATGGACCAGCTCTCCCCCGATATGGCAGCAATTGGCTTCGTGCTACCGTTCATTTCTCTACCCCATGATAGGGACAGGTGGGCTGTGCGGTACTGGTTGGACAGGATACCAGAGCGCCTCGTTGCATTACGTCGGCAGTTCCCCCATTTTCTGAAAATCACTTCCCCGTCCTTCCCTCCTGGTAACACAGTTCCCACCACTCAAGACCTCATCAACTGCGCATCACGGCTAGAAATGACGTCCCAGCAGCTCCGTATGATAAGTCACATCTACTATTGTGCCGCCGCTGTGAGAGAGATGAGAGAGCTGGGACCGGAGAAGTTTTTTGTGAGTGTTGTCAAACTTGTCCCTTCCCATCTTTCCCTGAAGATCAGTGTTCACATCATAGGAAAAGTGTCACTGCGCTTGCTCTGAACGGTAAGCCGTTTTATTCTACGTAGACCACACTGACGATTTGGCAGTTACTCCCATGTTAGCCCCTTCACTATGGCGATATTGGTATCGCCACTTGTCTTGCTCTTCGATGCCACTCTCACTAACCCATCGGCTCTTCCTTCCATCACCGGCATGCTGTCGTATGCTGTCTTGCGCGGGGGGCTCAGGAAATCGAATGGCCTTCGGAAGGTGCTCGAGAGTGCCGTGCTTAATCTCGTATTTTCTGTTTCGCAGACAGGGCAGATTTCGCAACACGACCTTGACAAATTCCATGCCGCATGGACAATGGTCTTGCCATATATACCTCAAACCATCACTTCCGTCATTAGCCCTCCCGACATGGACCCCAGGGAAATCGGGAATGAATCCGCCTCTACCGCTCCATCCTCCGTGGAGCAAGCCTCGAGCTCGCATTCCTCGACAATTCAATCCCCTGCAGCCGCCGAAATCCCAATCATTACCCCGACCCCGTCATCTGCCGACCCGATCATCCCCAAACCATCGACCATTCCTACCGTCCACCCACAGTCAGCACCCAACGCTCCGGATGACAGGGATGAAGAATCGACCACCGGTCAAAAGGAGTCTAGACAGAGCCGGCCTTTGACCCAGACGTCTTTGTCCACTGGCCACAAACGCCCCCGTGGGGGGCGATATCAACTCGGGAACAGGACATGTGCGCGGAAACGGATTAAATTGGGGACTGGGCAGATTCAGGAATGTTACGGGACCAAGGGAATGGTACCCCCTCTGTCTCTAGACGTCTGCAAGATGTGGCCCCCCATCTCCAATATAGACAAAACGCTGGGCGTCCCAGGGCTCAATGCAGATGCTAGGTCAAAGGTAAGTTCAGTATAGGCCGAAGCCAAACGAAGCTAACAGGTTCCTCCACAGCTCCTCCATTCCGTAGACTTGCGTGTCATCCCTTGTTTTTCCCAGACTGAGGCATTCGTTTTTCCGTACCGCGGAAATTCTGTGAGTCGTTTCCCATTCCTTCCCACCTTGACAACTGACCGCATTGAAGCCGTCCCTAAAGAAATTGAAGCAGTACTTGGAATCTCCGCGGCATGATTCCAAAAATTGGAAGCCCGTTTTGATGACAGCAAAGCAAGCGTTAGCGATGGGCGCACGAGTGTTTCAGGGTAAAGTTAACGACGGTACCCCGATCGTCTTGGTGGACCGAACACCGCAGGTCCCGTTTTGCCTCTCTGGCATCGTTAAAGTTGAGCCCAAGGTTCGGTGTATCGGCAAGTTGTGTCTCCCATCATTTCATCCTGTTGACCGACCTACTTTTAGATTCTGACCATATTGCATCGACCGACCCCTCCCTAAAGATGGCCCCAGGTGATGCTTTTCGCGAGATATGTGATTGGCGGAGATCCAGGCCATTGATCTTTACCCAACCATCCGCTAGCCACTTTCAGCTGGTAGAGAGGTGTGTTTATTCATTTTTCTCGGCCACGTGTCTCACATCATTACAGCCTCCTTAATACTCATGAGGCGGCACTGGAAGATTTTCCTCTGCAGGACGGCCCAATTGGTGACCGAGGCTGGCGATATCTGATTGTCGCGGCCGCTGGCTCTATACACCCCCCTTGCCAGGGTCCAAACGGCATTGGCACTAGCCTTCACTGCCTTCAAGGTTATGCCATATTCTTCATTCCTGTCCTCAAAGAAGACGAGTTTATCAGGAGCTGTTTCGGCGTCGCAGACGCGCACCCCAACCTGGATTTTTCATACCTCTACGAAGCTCCGTATCGTTTTGCCTCTTTTGTTCTCTCACCTGGCCAAACGGTGTAAGTAATTTCGATGCCTGCCGGATTCTATTTAATGCTTCTATCCTCAGTATCTTTCCCCCTGGCCAAGTTTATGCCTACGCATCACTTTCTCAAGAATCAAACAGTCGATTTATCCCCGGATGTAAAATTCAATGCTCACACTTTCTCGCCGCTGGATGCATGAAGCGATCGTTTTTCACAAGCTGGTTTCATCGCAACTCTGCCAACCAATTCAAGAGTGAACACTCCTGGGATACCACCCTCACATTATCCTTGATGGCCATGGTATGGAACGCGGTGTGTGCCCTATCGACTGCGCAGGAACAGCCCATCCATTCTCCAGATATTGTCAACCTCTTCTCGTTGGCACTCATGGCTATGGAGTTCGTTGGGGATCGTGAGCCGCGCTATTCCGAAATGACGAAGTCATTGGGGCGGTATTGTGCAGAGCAAGGAGCGGACTCTTGCTCTCGATTCCTCAATGAATTCTCGCGCCTCAATAAGTTATCCGCATAAATTGGGCGAGTGCGACCCTGGAGTTCACTTCCCCAGCCCACAATTACGTAACTTCTGACGCTGAAAATGAATATTTCTTCTCCATCTTTATGTAATATCAGTTATGCTGCCACTCCACTTTCGACCTCCTGTTTAACTCGTTCAACTGCTTGTCCTCTTCTTCCAGCACTTCGCATGGTGTCTTTGTGAATAGTGCATCCTTGAAATCACGTATCAGGCATATGTTTGCCCCCTCTTGCATGTGACAGCGTCACTTGAAATTGTCGGAAAATCCCGTATATCGTTTAAATGCCCGGGAAATGTTTCATGGCATTTATTTACAACAACTACCCAACAGCCGATGAGAATACATTGGTCAGATGTGGTGGTACTTTATGTGTTATATGAGACGGGTTTTTGATGATTTTGATGCTGTAGGAAGCATTTATGACACATCTAATCAGATGGTATGAGCACTTAGTGTAACGGCCGGAACCTGAGCTGGTGGATTGATGTGCACAGGCATTGTGTGACCCATAACCTCGATTTGATAACTAGGATGGTGGAGGGGCGGCTGGTGGTGCAATTAGGGATAACTGATTAGCATGATGCCCATTGAATGCGGATACTCCAGCCAGCATGCCTTGCAGCAGAATCAGAATCTGATGAAGATAAATGTGAAAGGCTTCAGAACTCCAGTGACCAATACGCTGAATATCACCAAAGAAGTCCCAGCCAAGGCCAGAGCAGTTGCACCTCCAGACCTCAGGGAGTGGCCAGCAAACTCTCTTCCCAGAAAAAGATTGCACAATTTGTCAATATACCAAGAATTAGTGGGCATGCAACCCAAAGAATGCAACCATAGCTCTGGCAGGTGGGGGAAGTGCAAATCCCATAAGGACAGATACTGTTTGAAAATGGATAGAGGGTCTATGTGAGGTCTCAGTGGGGTTGCTCAGCACACAAGGCCATAAGTGATATGATGGTATGTATTTTATGGTGTGTGTAAGCGGTTAACAGAAGTTCCCACTTACCCACATGACTTTATGTACATTGTGATTACATATGGCTTGGGGTTCAGGGCTATTGCCCTGACATTCTCCCCCTTGCATTGCATATGCGATGCATACTGTGATGACTGTGCAGCGCGATACCTCAATTAGTTAGGTATGAGTAGTGATGGACGGACTTGCCTGCGCAGCGCGATACCTCAATTAGTGAGGTATCAGCTGCTAGCGCAAGTCCGGTCCTTATATACATCTTGTAATGACTCTACGCCACTGAGGTGAAACATAAATGGTAAACAACAAGTTGAAAACAAAAGCGCAAAGCGCAAAAACAAAGAGTCCAAGAGGTTGCCGCCGTTTGTGCCTCAAAGCGCCCCTCCCCTTCCCAAAGCGTGAATGTCCGGCCCGGGTGACTCCCTTGACCACCAGTGGCGTTGGGCTGCAACTTCTAACACATACATGGTTAAAGAGGGAGAAAAAAAAGGAAACAGGAGGAAATTACATTGAATTTGAAATTATCAATGAGTGTTTTGTTATCGCCACTTTAAAGTGGGCAATTTGTACATGTCAGTGGGAGAAATTGGAGTGAATGAGTGTGAGGCCATCACTTTGAAGTGGACTCTGTGTACCTGTTCTGCACTCCAATGCATATATAGTGCATCAGGAGGTCTTGTGCCTCGCCTTCAACGGCAGTTGTCAAAGTGTGGACGTGAAACTTGTTATAAGCTTCACCCTTCCACCCACACGATGACATATAGGCTAGCCAGGAGTGCAGCCAGTTGTGGAATATCTTCGAGTTATTCTCTCCAGACCATTTGATGGTCGGAGTCAGTCCCTGCATCTTTTTGAGCAGTTCTGGGCATACATCTGCAGGCAGTGGCTGTAGGATTCAAACCTCTAGTGTCCCAGGCAGCACAGAAACGGAAGTTTCATGCAACTGAGTAAGTAGTTCCGCAGCACAGGACCACCATCAGCAAAAGTCCGTTATGCTCCGGAGCATCAAGAGTGGCTGGAGCATGTGGGAGACAAAACAGCAGATTGGGCACTCCTGGAGCCAATAGTGTTCTCCTGGGAGGGGGTTCAGGAGCAGCTGGGAGTGGTGAGGAGTATGTAATGTGCCAGGAGCAGTGGGAGGAAAATTTTGGTCTCTAAAAAGTTGAAAAAAAAAAAATTAGGGAAAAATCAAAAAAAAATTCAGGAACTATAGTGCCTTTAAAGTGCTTCCAGGACATATAATTATTTGCAAAATTGAGGAAGAAATGATGGAGAAAAATGGAAAATACTTTCGGAGACCCGAGAAATAATGAGAACTGAATTGATGGGGGAGTCTGAAAATTGAATAGGAAAGTGAGGGGAAGCCTTGTAAGCATTGTTATTTTCTGCTGTTCTGATTTTTCCTGATTGTTCTTGGTCTCACTCCCAGCTGCTCCTGGACCCTCCCAGGAGCTTTCAGGAGCTTCCAGGAGTATTGAGGAGCAGCTGGGAATGAGACCAAGAAGAATCGGGAAAAATCAGAACAGCAGAAAATAACAATGCTACAAGGCTTCCCCTCACTTTCCTATTCAATTTTCAGACTTTCCCATCAATTCAGTTCTTGGGTCTCCAAAAGTATTTTCCATTAGCTGCTCCTGGACCCTCCCAGGAGCTTCCAGGAGTATCCAGGAGTATCCAGTAGCAGCTGGGAGTGAGACCAAGAACAATCAGGAAAAATTAGAACAGCAGAAAATAACAATGCTACAAGGCTTCCCCTCACTTCCCTATTCAAGTTTCAGACTTTCCCATCAATTCAGTTCTCATTATTTCTCGGGTCTCCGAAAGTATTTTCCATTTTTCTCCATCATTTCTTCCTCGATTTTGCAAATAATTATATATCCTGAAAGCACTTCAAAGGCACTACAGTTCCTGAATTTTTTTGATTTTTTCCCTAATTATTTTTTTCAACTTTTTAGAAGTCCCTATTTTTCAAATTTTCCTCATTTCCCTCTATATCCCCCCCTCATTCCCCCCCTCATTCTCCCCCTCATTCTCCCCCATTTCCCCCTCCCCCATATTCTGCCAGCCCGAAAGTGATTAAGTTGCCAGATTAATCATATATCAGGCCATAAATTTTGATTGTGTATTGGTGAGTCTCAGTGTCCTTGATATATAGTATAGTGTTTGATCTAAATGTTAAGCAGTGTCTTGTTGTGTTTGTCTTGTGGTAGGAGGTATTCATGGGGGATCTTCCCTCTTTTTTTCCTTTTCATTTTCAAATGCTCCAGGAGCTCCCAGAAGCTTCTCACCCCTATACACTTTGAAGCATTTAAATTGTATTTACTGGATATGTTTGTGCACAAAGCAATGCTCCAGGCCCTCCTGGGAGTGCCCTGGAGTACCTAGCCAACTCCGGAGGAAATGGGCTGTTCCTGGACCGGCCAATCTCCTCCTGATTCTCCCAGTGCTCTCGATACTCCGGAGCACTCAGGAGCATAACAATTTTTTGCTGATGACAGGCAGAGAGATTGCAGTAAGCCATCAATCCCAGCTGTCACATTGTCCTGTAGGTTCTTTAGTGGCTGATGTATTCAACATTGAAGGACACACCCTCGATATTTGGATGGAGGAAAATGCCTGAGAAGCCAGTGCAGCTGTTAGTAATGATGAGAGTCGGAAGTTAGCTTTGCTCGGTCCCGATGATGGCCTCTCTGCTTCGATAATCTCCATCAGTGCCAAAGCATTATTGTACCCTGCTAACGCCTGATCTGCGTCTCCCGTGCTTGCTATGTGGACTGCGTACTGAAGGAATAACTCCACCTGTGTTTCTTTCGTGACAGTGCCCTTGTAATCACCCAATACCGCGAAGGCCTCGGCATACATAGTGGTTGCGCGCTGAAAATATTCCAAACAACGGTATTCCCGGGCTAAATATACTAAAATCCTAATTCTGGCTAAATGGAGGTTGTGAGGATGTTGTGCAAAGTTCTGTGGAACTCACTATTTTCCCATCTTCCAGGGAACTTCGCCAGACCCAATCTGACTCGCAGAACCTCCAATTTTGGGACGATGAGCCCTACACTACCGAAAATCCGCCCAAGAAGATCTGAGAAACTATTAGACCCCAAATTGTGTCAGTCTCGTAAGACTGACCTAGGTGGGAGTCGACAAACTCGATGTCGTCAAATTTCGCCTGTGATGGCTTTGTAGCACCGAGTAGACAATTGATGGGTGTAGAACTGATTGCCTTCGTCGTTTCTATAAAACGTAAGGCTCAGGATGAAGTGAGGAGAGCTGACAACGCACTCTTAGACGCCTGCATCAATTTCCCCTTGGTGCGCTGTTTTCTCCTGGGTGATCTGTTCTGAATTTCTTTAAGAGCACCAGAGGCACTATGTTCGATTTCGGATTGCGCAGGGAGCACGTAATCGCGAAAAATTATCACCGACAAAGAAGCTTGGGAGCGGATATCACATAAAAGTGTGGCAGAATCCCCCAAACGATGCGTGATAAGAGCTGAGAGCAGCGACACAGTAGCGAATTGTGGAATAAAGGTGTCAGGAGAGCATCACGAGTGTCTCCATATCGCTTTGGAATGGAGTCCAGGTTCGGGGCACTGACTGTGTGAGCATCTAGGCACAGCAGCCTTTGAAGTTCGTTCCGGGTTTCAATGGCAGCAGCAATATCGTTATTGAGGTAAAAAAAATGTTAACATTTTCATGAGAATCCTTGCATCCCGTATGTTAGACAAGTCATCGTCTTCTCAGGATTCGCTCACCGTATTCGGCGAATCGGATATTCCAGATTGTATACGACGAGGCAGCTGTCCATGATCTTCTTTTGCATTGTTTGACTTTCTTTTAAGCGAAAGCCAGGATGTCTGCGGAGCGTTGACAATTGGACTTCCATAAGCATTGCCTCCTTTTCCTCGTCAGTGGTAGGAATGTCCATGTCAGAGAAAATGTCAAGCAGTGTGACGGGAGAACAATCAAGCAGCTCGTGGGTCGTGAAAAGCGTCAACCTCTCCAGGAGCGACTCAAGGGATCGCATGCCAGGGCTCGAAAGAAAGAGATTCGCGGGCAGAATCCGGTGAGATAATCCTGCAACTTGGGGGAAAAAATGTCGTGAAGAAACAATGCCGCGTTGAAACGCATCATATGCAAGCTGGATGCGAAGATGAGTGATCTGACATAGGGAAGGGGGTGGCCTCGTACCCTACGATCTCCGGTGCGTGACTGACAGAAGCCAAGCAACTCCCAACGCTTAGGCAAGACGTTGGATATTGAAAGTTGGTTAGCCTGTAGCCCTTGATCTGCCGCGTTTGGCAACTTTAACCCTTGCAATTCTTGTACCAGGTGACAAGATTGGGTCAGGAAAGGTACAGCTGTCGCATGCTGACCCCGATTAAATAAAGTAACCGCAACAGTCCAGAAGGCAGAAGATGTGGACTTCAACAGTGCACTCGATTGGGCATCTAGTTCAGATGCCAATTTGCGGGCAACTGACGCAGCTCGATCCAGGGACTCTCGAATGGTTCTTGGGTGAATGCCTGGTTGTGCTAAATTGATACGAGCAAGGCATATCAGTGAGTCAACGCATGAGACACCATACTCCGCAACGGGTGCCACCTGAGAATTTGTCAAGTGAATCGATACGGCGGAAAGTAACTTGGAGGCAGCAACGGTATATGCGCCTTGCAACGCATCGTGAGACTTTGTTCGTCTCGCAACAGGGGTGCTTGGTCGCGATGAGCCATCCACAGAAGCTTCAACTTCATTATCATCGGCTTCTAAATGCTCAAAACGAGAGACTAGGAGTTGAGTACACCTTTGCCTTAGTTTATTGAGCTCAGCGTTGATCTTTCGGGTGCTCTCAGGGGCAATCGCTCCCTCGGCAATCAGCTGGGTGCATTCATCGACGGTTAAGGCACCCAAGCGAAGAGCGCTGAAGTCGGCTACATGGTTTTTGAAGTCAGAAAATCCCGACAACAACCTCGGAGAACGGACCTTGAGGATCGGAGTGCAAAATCTCCAATATTGAACTATAGTCCGACACCATGGTACACAACCGAACGACCTTGAGGTCAGCGCCTTTTTGCACATCGTCATCTTGGCTGTCAGACTCAAGACTCTTCGACGCATTTTCGAGCATTGATTTGAAGCGGTCAATTTCAGAGCGACTTTTTGTCTGAATGAAGGGGGGGTTAAAACAGCCATGATAAAGCCTGAATAGAGTGATAACACTCACTAGTCTAGCCAGTTTCAAACCATACTCGCATATGCCGATGAACCCTTTCCCATGGAAAAATCTGGAGGTGTCTTTGCGCTCCGATGCTTGCAAGAATAGGTCGTCCAACAAGCCAGCCACCGGCTGTCGTGCGTTATCGCCGACAGCTCGAATGTAGGAGGCGGAGTATTTCCCCGCCTGATCCCAGAAAGGTCCCTCCTTCAAAATGGGACTTGAAAGGAGACACTTCAAACTCCAAGCGCGGATACGAAACAAAGTACAAGCCGATAGCGGAGGCCCACATTTCGCTGCAGCCTGAAAGGCGCTCGTAAAAAGGGCGGCGCACTGTGACCGGACAGGTGTTGATGCAATACGGTTGACCACGATAGCAAGGTGCCGTTGTTCAAGAACGCCTGTATGACATGGTGAGATGTTGGGCTTATTGTTTGACTGAATGGCGTACATCAATAGTTTGTTCAGTTGCCAATGGATGGTATGACTGAAGACTATGAAGTTGGTAGGCTGCGGCCAACGACGGCAGGTTGTCATCATCGACAACATTCCCCGAGGCTGGCGAGGGAAGACCGAACGCGACGCCCGCCTCCCCGGAGGGCCCAGAGAATTCTCCACCCATCTGTGGCAGCAGCGGGCAGACGAGTTTCAGAACATACGGTCGCGCCTCTAAGGGTAACCTCGAGGCATCCTCAAACCGAGCGAAAGCTGCTGGTGAGCAAGTGGACAACAAAGTTTCAAGGACGGATTCACCAGTTCCAATGAAATCGCGCGCCCAATAATCTGAGCTGCCGATTTCTCTACATCCATTGGACGTGCAACAGGAGATGCTCTCAGTTGACTTATACATTTACAAGCGATGGATAGAGAACTATCCAACGACTTCCGTGAGATATCTTTAATAGGGGTAGATACTCTCCATCCAAGCTGGACGGCATCGGCGAGCTTCTGTGATGAGATTTTCAAATCAACCAACGCTTGGGAGGCGACCTGTCTTGGGTCGTCAACAGTCGTGGCGTTCCCCTTTAGCTTCCCGGCCTCAGAAGTTGCAGTATTCGGGGAGATATGAAGAGTCTGGTCAAGCCTTTTGGCTAGTAATTCTTCCGGGTGCGTTTTCGAAGAGGCAGTGGCTCGCCTCGTGTGGCGTAACGATGAAATGGTCGAGATTGTCTTCTTTCAAGAGGTATCAATGTGAAGATTTGCGTCCAGTCTCTTCGAGAGCTCTTCAACATATGTAGAAACCGCATTTTGAGAAACTTTGATGATGACGGTGCGTTGTGACGAAGAACATTCGAAGAAGTTGCTAGTGAAGATCCTGCGGATTTTCCAGCAGATATATACTCCCAGAGCGTGTCGTTGTCCTCCCTAATGGTCTTGACGGCATTTCCGGGCCCCCCTTCCTCATATTCCCAGTACAAACGCGTCCAACAGATAGTGCAAGAAACGAGTTCGCGGTGTGTGGCATGGCTCAATGCTTTCTTGGAAAGAATCTGATATCGCTCTCCAGCAATGCACTCACTGAATTGGGGCTAAGGCGATACTGCTGCCGACGCATGGTTTTAACCCACGTTGATCTCATCGAAAAATTACTACAGTACAATCGTGAGTCATTGCTCCTCGCTTGCGGCGCGCAGTTCACTCAGCTTCTGTACCGTCTAGGTATGGAACGATCCAAAGACAAGAACATTGGGGGGTAGAAGAATTCAGAACACGTACCATTAACCCATTCCGAACCCATATAATTCGAGACTTAACATCAAAGTCAACCCATAGTTAGAAGCACCCCATCAAGTTCCCTGGCTACGACGTTATTCGGACTCAAGTGTTTCAGTTCCCTGCGTCGCCTCGCATTTAGTGCTGTGTTAGAGACATCCCATGCCACTCACTGAAGTTTTGCCTTTTCCCCTCGTTCTTTGCACTCTTGAGCCGCCATCTTCCACTCATTGCATTTGACGTATAGATCCACCCGTAACTTAGAGTCGCACTTGGGGACAAAGGATGCTGCTTGCTTTGGGTATCCCTGACTCACGAGATACTCGACGAAAGGCTCGTAACCAATGGGGCTACGCTTCGATTTGGCGAATGCATCCAGCCCGTCAAAATCTTTGACATCCACCAAAGCGTGAAGTTTGGTATACCACCATCTAAATACGCGGCTTGAGGATCATACTGAAATTCAACACTCGGACGAATCTTTTGTCAGGCACCTTGAAGTCGTTTCGCAATCGTTCCACTTTTTTGTGAAGACCCGCGACAATGCATGCTCGGATGGTCTCTGTAATACTGAGGCCAACGAATTGTTTTGTTTCGTCTAGAGCTGCTGCTGAAAGGCGAGCAATTTGAAATATTCATCCATCATCTACTCATCATCAGTCACACGTCACTGAACAGGGACAATTCCTCCTACTTTGGCTTCAAAAGTCCTTTGTTTATCCTCCGAGAAAAATTTAGCCGCAATTTTGATATTCTCAATCTTCGCTGCTAGGCCCTGAGTGCTGACTCGTAAGTACCCTGGTAACACACCCTGGGCTGTTAGCTTACCGTCGCATTCGCAGCTTCTTCCAAAGCCAACGTTGCACTTTCAGTCCTCCTGTCATCTTGGAACCAGAATTCTCAATAGTTCTCTGTTCTGTTGCCGGGCGCAAACCTGAAGTAAATCTGCCGCCAGTTTCAGCTTTGGGCCGCCTTCCTCTATCAATCGGAAGAAGTCCCCCAGATTTAGGCGAGGTTTGAGGTGAAGTAATACATAATAAACTGTGAACATCAGAATTGTAAGTCAATGAGACGTGGGAGATATTCCTTGGAGCAAACCCAGATCGGTGTCTCCGCTGTCAACCGCTTTAGTGAGGGCCAGCTGGCCTTCATTCATCGTAAGTAACAACGGGACTTGGTCTCCTGCCCTCGGTTCATGATCCAAAAGCTGACACGTGTTATTTTCCCATCTATGACTCTTGCAGGAGCAGTACCAACCATCGTAGCCAGACGACTCCTTCCAGCACTCCAAGCTTTCTTCGCGATTTCAGAGTAACTCACACCCTGGGACGCCTCCGGTCCAAGAGCCTCGAACTTAGCAACAATCAACCTACAGACTTCTTCATCGTCATTCTTCGCCCGTTTTGTTTCTTCGTCGATCTCCGCTCTCGATTGCGAGATCTTGGCAGACGCCCAATGTCGAAGTACGACGTCAGGTTTAAGCTTGATATACATAGATATCCGAAGCGCAAGGAGGTGGAGATTGCGTGTGGTGAGGCGGTTGATGAGATGGTGAGGGGAAGCTTGGATGTACCTGCCGTCGCCGGATGAGCTGCTAATGATTTATGACGACGTGGAGATAAGAGCATACTGGGTATAAGTGATGGGTATGCCGATTTCGAAATAACGAACAGCGTTCAACACTTTAAGCGCTTGACCCATCTCCACGAGATCTGTTGGGTTGTAGAGATCGAGGAAAGCACGACCATACAATGCAGCCTGGAAGAGTCAATACACGTTACTTCAATCTCAACGGCACGATGAAAAGGACATTACATTCAACAAGCGCTTTTGCCAATATGGCTCAAACTCGTGCCCTGCTGCTGCAATGCATGTATCAACGGCCCCGGCAAGCTCTGGTCGTATACTTCGAATAATTTCATCCGATCTCGGGGACTTTTTCTCAAATAGTTCAAGTGCGTCAAAAAGAATTGCGGCCGCAGAAGTAGATTCAGGTTTAAAGACCATCTCTGATGGCCCTGGAAAAGCTTAGAGATCATCTCGGCTCCATAGCAAAATCGAACAGACTTACGGGGCACCTTCTGCAAAAAATCACACCTATCGCTGCTGATTATCCGGACGCCGTCGATCTCCGAAATGAGATGTGTTGGCGAGGTGTAATGTATCTGTGTAAGATTGGAGGGTTGAGTCGGGTATCCAAGCAAATAGCCCAGAATAACCTCACTTTAGCACAGTCCCGAAAGGACCAACCATAACCACTGTCATCTCCCAGTTCATAACCAATGTATCGTTACCGCATCACACAAGTTGTTGCGGCGGGCCTTGCATTCCTTCAGTCGTTGTATCATACTCGGTATAACTCTCCTGAAAATTTGATGATACGACCCAAAGAGTCCCGGAGCCAGTCAATAGAGCGATGGCCTTTCCACTTGGGGAAATGACTATGTGTTGAAAAGGTCCCCTGGGAATTTGCTGATAGATTACAGAAGGCCATTATGTTGCGTACTTGGTCAATGCTTTCCAAGCTATCAACACTCAGTATAGTATTTTCATATGGGAGCAATACTTCGACATGACAATTGAGACTTTGATCGGGGGGAACAATGTCCCAACACAGCGGTGGCTGCGACAGAGCTGGAGCATTCACGTATCACCAATAAGCTCGCTATGGAATATGCATGGCGCTCTTACCTGTGGAGGCCAATGACACTGGTCTACTACCCTCCCAACCTTTCACTTCCATAAAACCCAAATTACCAGTAAGTGCCACCATCCCAAAGTCATGAATAACAGCGTCGACGACTCCTGAATCTTGTGCTTCTTGTCCCAGGGAATTCTGAGAGTATTCTCCTTGGAGATCGTACACCCGGTAAACACCGTCTTCGTTGAGTATGACGAGTTGTTCATCATATGACCAACCCATTTTCACTATTTTGCCTAGCTCCCACTACAAAAAGTTATTCAGCAATCACAATAAGCAAGTTAATGTCGCACAGACACACCGGTATTGTGATAAGCAGCGCCCCAGAAGAGGAGAACACCTGTACTTGGGGCTTGGATGTGGTATGTTGCGCATATTGCACAGTAACTGACTCATTTCGGCGAAGTGCTACATATCGTCTTGAGAAAAACGGAAAGACCTGATGATCGATGGGATTTCACCTATCGGTCCACCACGTTTCGCACCAGCGACGATGAAATCGGAGAGCGATGCAACGCTCCATTGCATCGCGTAGACCTCCTGTCGCCTGATAAAGCCGTTAAAGAGACGTTTCCCTCATTGGGATCTTCTAAAGAACGATGTGCCATCTTGATTTGCCTCCCACGCAGTAGTGGGATGCTGCACTGACATGAATTCGACCACACGCAAGGCCGAGCGAACAGCCACTAAATTCGCACGCATATCATAAGCATAACCACCTAGGAGTTGGGAGGGCCCTGGGTTGGCAATAATAGAGGACCTTGTCATCAAACGCGTTCAATCAGGGGTCGAAAAATTTACAAGACCCGCTACAGAGTAGCGGAAATTTAAACCTTAACGCCGTTAGGTCCGTGACACAAGGTTGGCTTAGCTGCGGACGACTTGTCACACAGGTTCAACGATGGCTGACAAGATGGAAGATGTGAAATATTCCTCTCCTGCAAGAATAAGTGACAAAGATTTAGGTGTGATCCGTCGGGCCAGTCAGCCATTTAGTCGAGCATCGTCTAGTCTCCTAGAGTTCGCCGAGGCGGATCCAGCAAGGTGGAATGATCTCCTTCCAAACATTCTGGGTGCTCTTACTATCGGTCTGGAGAAGGCGTTTTTCGATGTTGTTCCAAACAACGAACAGACCTCCTCGACCATGGAAAACTTCAACAATGTTGAATGTCGGGGATTGATCACTGATGCTCTCAAACAGAATCGATGGAGGCCCTTGATCGAGTATGGTATGTACCAACCAGCATTCAAGGCACTGATTGTCATTAATTGATGGTACAGTGGAAGTGAGACTGCGACGCGCTAGGGATACCAATTCCCCAAATCTTCGATTGATTGCTAAGTACGCTTGTTCAACATCGACCTTACTTCTTACTCACGTAGCTCTGTTTACAGGCTTCTCAATAAACAAAGTGAGTCTAAAGTTTGTATTTTTTCCAGGGTTCTGATTAGCTGCCAGAGCTTGCTGCCGCATACCGTTCCCCTTTTGTTGGTGGTGCGCCTCTCACTTTCATTAGGCACCTTGACCAACTCGACCGGGATTCGGGAAACCGCAACCGACCACGTTATGCCAAAGCCATCTCAGTAGTCCAAAGCTCTGGGGTTGGGAAATCGCGTATGCTGACGGAGGTGTGTTTGTCCTCTGATCCTGAAAAAGGAATGACCTTATTTGCTCTAGGTTGGTAGACGAGTCTTTGCCCTCCCTATCTGCCTTCGTAGGCCGGATAATCCTGGTTACCCGTTATCGGACGAGCCCGTGTCCACCTATTTTTGGGAGCTCAAGACCAAGTGCGGCGACAATAGCCCTAGCATCAGCACACTTTCGGGTATCGCTGATTTCCTTGCAGCTGCGCATGAGATTATGGTAGAGTCTCTCGAAGATATTGTTGTTGAGCTTCGTCAAGAGAATTACACAAGGGCAGATGTTCTTGGTCGTTGGCACCAGAAAATGGAGGGGGAAGGCCAACGAGATTTTCGGGTGGAGTTCTACAAAAGGGTGATGGAACGCGTCCAGGCAAATTTCCGTTCTTGTCCTCTCTGCTGAAGCTGATAGATGGCTTAGCTACATTTAAGTGATGATGCAAAACCAGGGAAAAGTCCCAAGCTCGATGGGACAACAAAGGAAGAAACAGAAAAGGCCGTCGGGCTTGCCCCGACCTATTATGAGCGTGCAAAGGAAGCGGTTGAGAACCTTATGGCGTTCATCAAGAACCTTCCCAGCGAACCACCTTCCGATGATCTACCCTACGACGGCCTACCCCAGGGCCCACTGTGCGTCACATACTTTGATGAAGCTCACGAGTTGGGAATGTGCTTCTGGATTATGTTACGTTTATTGCAAAACCAAGCCGAATCCGTAAGAATGTGGTATGTTTTTATGGGGACGAAGGCAAGCGTAGCGTATTTTGCACCTCGTTCTCAAGACAGTGAGTGTTTATGTAGTTATCTAGCTAGACCTTGTTGTTTCGCACAGTGGTTTCCGCAAGACTCAGAGAGGAACAACTTCGCCTAGACCCCCCTACTTTGCTCTTGGTTTTGATCAGTGTGCCAGCGAGCATGCCAAATCCCTGACACCCGTCAAGATCGGTTATTTCGAAACAATGGAGCATATCAGCCAATATGGGCGGCCATTGTGTGTCCTTTCCTCCAGATCACGAGGGCAATTACCCACTCACTTCTGCTAGGTGGCGCGCCATGTTACCCAAGAAAGGCAATGAACTGGTGAATATTGCGGCTTTCAAGCTCACTGCCGGTGATAAGGGAGGATTCCATCCCCACGATAAGCGCCATGTATTCGCTGTGCTTTCACAGCGGCTTTGCCTCGATCCTGTTATAGCGAATCGTGAGGCCGTCATGTTAGCCGATCGGAGCGTCTCGCATCACATGAGGCTCCTCACGGGCCTCTCGGTTGACAACGCGTTATTCTACACTCATTCACCCTCGGAACCGGTTCTGGCCTTGGGTGCTGCACTACTCTTGTACGATCATCCTGGGCAGTTACCTTTGGTTCTGGATACGTTGAGCCAAGATTTGTGCCTTGCTGGTCTGGTCGAAAAGGGTCTTATGGGTGAACTTGCTGCCCGTTTCCTTCTCCTCACCGCGCGCGACTATGCGGCTCCATTTGATGCTGAGGGGCACCGAAACCTGCTGAAACCCGTTCATCTGTTGGACGTCCTTGAAATGCTTTTTGGCAAGGACTGGTGTAATGATGATGATTTCAAAACGGCTTTCAGTGACGCATTTGTCAATTTCACACATTGGGGTGCCAGAGATTTTTCCTTACCTGAGCCGCCTCCTCGGTAGTTATTCCTTGTATACTCCTTCACGTGTTCGCTGACCGAGGCTCCTCAGAAATTTACTTTCTAACCTCTGGGCTCGGGGGGTCATAATGCAGTGCTGCTTCAATCAAACATCGATCGATTTCTTATGCCCGGTTTATTTTGGTTCCATGGATCCTGGGGCTAATTTTGATTGCGACCAGCTGTCGGGATTTGTTATTCAAGTCAAGAACAAAAAGAAAGGAGATACTGATACTGGTGCCCAAAGGAACCTGCGACCCAATGGAATTATCCGCGATCCTGAAGACCCACTCCCCTATCTTGCCCTGCTGATGGAGCTTGGTACCGACTCCCAGTATCGAGAAGCAGAGTTCATCACTTACTCCCTCCCAAAGCATTCCAAGTCCTTCCAATATGGTGCCTTGAAGAGGGAGCACCAGAGTGCTCTAGATAGGCTATCCACGCATAGGAACCAAATTCCCAAGGGCAAAAAAAATCCTGAGGACAAAAAACAGTTGAAGGTGCTGGAGGTGGATGTTCAAGACAAAGAGCTGCAAAGGGATTCATATAATCGCTACTTGATCTCTGCCCGAGGTTCAAGCCCTAAGACCTATGACATACTTACGACAGCAGGAATTGAGCAGCAGTTTGAAACCTTTCTTGGCATTGTCCTGCCTCAGGAATTGTCTCATGGGGATGAAATTGCTCAAATGTGGCCTCTGAATCATATGGAGGATCATGACTTGTGGATTACCAATTATGCAGAGAATATGTCTGATGAAATGTAAATTAAAATGTGATTCCAAATGTATCTGATCAAAGACTTTTGCTTATTGACCCCTTTGTCTTCCATCCATGCAATACAATCACATAAGATATCACACTCAGCCCTTACACACCATGCTTATATGGATATATACTGGATATGTGACACAGAACAAAGTGTTATGTCAGGACCATGTGGGATGTAGGGGTGTTCATGGATGAGAATCTGAGGATGACCCAGGATGATCCAGGATTGTGATGCACCCAGGTTTCAATAAACTTTCCTCATTTTGCGGAAGCATGTTCTCACCACAGGTCTCAATAGGGTTTCTGTCAGGGACAGCTCCGAAAGCGGTGAGGTCCCAGTGCGAGGGACTCAATGGGACAGGTGTCGGCTATGCATAGCGGTGGTCCCGTCGCAGGGTGAGCATCCCCAACCACTTAGTCTGAAGTGGGAAGTTGAGAAGAAGGCTGCTTCTTCTGTTCCCACCCCAGGTGCTATTATATACATGTGGTTAGGGTCACATGGGGGAAGCCACATCATCTCTGCACACAGCCGCACCTCCCTGGGTGTCTCTGCAGGAGATCCTGGAGGTGGCTGCTCAGCAGGCGGGAGTGCACACAGCATGTGTGGCGATCAGGGGAGCAGGGTCAGGTATGTAGTGGTACATGGAGAAAAGGGAAATCGACTGTAGAATAGAAATAGAGAGAAAAGGGGAAAAGGGGAAAGGAGGGATGGGGAGTGATAGCAGGGGGAGCAGAGTAGAGCAGTATGGCGCAGGGTGCGGCACAGGGTCAGGCAGGTGTGCCCTGACATCACCCCCCCCTTAAGCTGCTTTGCCTCAAAGTGGCTGGGCAGTTCTCTTTTTCTCTCCCTGGGGTGTGGGGGTGTGTTTGATGGAACTCAACTAGGTTGGAGGTGTGGGTCAGGTGGTCACATGTGAGCCATTGGTTTTCCGAGTGTGGCCAGCCTGTATACTTTATGTCAGGGCACACACCCTGACTAGCCCGGACCCGGACCCGCATGTGTGCTCCGCCCCGCACGCTCCGTGCACCGCATGCTCCGGGTGTCATATCCGTTGAAGGAGAGAACGAAGGAAGGTCAGTTGGGAGGTTCAAACGAGACCACCACCAAGCTGTTCCCTGGTTCTTTAGTTAGGATGGGGAAGTGTACTAGTGTTATTTATTGTAAATAAAGTACCAATCCGAGTGTTTTGGCTAATTCTATTTTTATGGGTTAGTTTTAAAGTTCCTGGGAATTGACTTACAGATAAACCGAGCCCTGCGGAGCTGTTTCTTTATTGAAATTTATTAATTTGTCTAGGTGTAATTCTGTGTAGCGTTGTTTAATTTGGATTTAAACTTGAATTTAATCTTCTACTTGGTGAAGTTTCAAAGATTCTATTCAGTTAATGAATTTGGATTATGTCTGGAGTGTCCCTTGAGTTTGTTTTATTTTTGTCTTATTTTATTGCTTGTTTTAACAGTAGCAAAATAACTGTTTTGTGTTTACACTTTGAAATCTGGAGTGTTAACCAGCTCTCCTGTTGAAATATCTACTTAATATTTCTCTCCTTAATTGCTGCCTTTTACTACAGTGGCAATCTTAACTGTATATCACTTTTTCGCACTGGAGTGACAACCAGAAATGCTTGAGAAAAATAATACTCTATTTTCTTACTTCTCTAAGGGGGGTGAAAAGTCGCAGAAAGGGTCTCCCTTTTATACTCCTTGGGTCGCCTTCCTTTTTCACGCTCTACCTTCTATTTACAGGATTTATTTACAGTGTATTTTTCTCAAACTGAATAAAAATGAAATTTTCATGCTATAGTTCTACTGCGCTTTTGCTGCGCTGAACTGCGGTTCTACTGCGGTCAGGCTGCGCCTGGAATCCTTATTGTCCTTCCTCGCCTAAGCTATTTTAATGGTTAATTAGAATTTGTCTGCGCCGCATTTGCCGCAGTTCCCTATTTCAAATTCCCCATATTTCCCATTAAGTTTGCTATGACTCGGTCATACTGAATTCAAACCTCGCATTACTATGCGTGCGACTGTGCTGAGACCTTCAGCTGATTTATTCCAATTTTATTTAGTGACATTTAGTTAAAATGAGACTGAAATGATAAATGAGTGAATTATTCAGGTTTAAAACTGAAAGAAAAAGTTGCTAGTGGTCAAGAATTACTCAAACAAATGTGTTATAGCTCTCCACCTCATTAGAATATCGTTCCCTAAAATTCCCGCCATGGTCCGTCGTAGTTTAGTGGTTTTCGTGAATTTTGTTCATATTCTCTGATTTCCTTTTGTATTATCGCATCCTAATCCTCCATATGTATCGTTGGTTGATATAGTAGGTTGTCCTTGAAGATATCATATTTTTATCTATTTTATTTAGGACTCTGGACCTCTTGAAGCTGTTTTCCCGCGCATTTTCAGGTTTCTAACTTCATGTCCTTCTATCTCATTCATTTCTGGATGTTTCCTCACGTTCTTAGTATCATAAATTTTCATTTATTCCCACCTTTCCAATGGTACTAATATTGTGTCCTATTTCCTGGTATTCGTTGAGTTAGCAAAGATTCGCGCGCACATTCAGTAATCACGTGCATCGTTCGTATGCGGGAGCCGTTTTCGTTTATTTGTTCGGGATTTATGATATGCGCGGGTGTTTATTTCTTTCATATGGGCTTCTGTGATTTATTTCAGATTTTTCCCTCATGATCTAAGGTTGTTTT